CCCTGGTCCTACACTTACACACACAGACCTGTCTTCCTGCTCCTACACTTACACACACAGACCTGTCTTCCTGCTCCTACACTTACACACACAGACATGTCTCCCTGCTCAATCACTGATTCACACGGACATGTCTTAGTGCTCCATCACTGATACACACGGACATGTCTTACTGCTCCAACACTTACACACACAGACATGTCTTACTGCTCCTACACTAACACACACGGACATGTCTTCCTTCTCCTACACTTACACACACAGACATGTCTCCCTGTTCCACACTAACACACAAAGACATGTCTTACTGCTCCTACACTAACACACACAGACATGTCTTCCTGGTCCTACACTTACACACACAACCATGTGTCCCTGTTCCACACTAACACAAACAGACATGTCTCCCTGGGTCTATACTTACACACACAGACATGTCTTCCTGCTGCTACACTTACACACACGAACATGTCTTACTGCTCCTACACTAACACACACAGACATGTCTTACTGCTCCTACACTAACACACACAAACATGTCTTCCTGCTCCCACACTTACACACACGTACATGTCTTACTGCTCCCACACTAACACACACAGACATGTCTTACTGCTTCTACACTAACCCACACAAACATGTCTTCCTGCTCCCACACTTACACACACGGACATGTCTTACTGTTCCCACACTAACACACACAGACATGTGTTTCTGCTCCTACACTAACACACACGAACATGTCTTACTGCTCCTACACTTACACACACGGATATGTCTTACTGCTCCCACACTAACACACACGGACATGTCTTACTGCTCCCACACTAACACACACAGACATGTCTTACTGCTCCTACACTTACACACACGGACATGTCTTACTGCTCCCACACTAACACACACGGACATGTCTTACTGCTCCTACACTTACACACACGGACATGTCTTACTGCTCCCACACTAACACACACAGACATGTTTTACTGCTCCTACACCAACACAGACAAAGACATGTCTCCCTGGTCCTACACTAACACACACAGACGTGTCTTCCTGCTCCTACACTTACACACACGGACATGTCTCCCTGCTCCATCACTGATACACACGGACATGTCTTAGTGCTCCATCACTGATACACACGGACATGTCTTACTGCTCCAACACTTACACACACAGACATGTCTTACTGCTCCTACACTAACACACACGGACATGTCTTCCTTCTCCTACACTTACACACACAGAGATGTCTCCCTGTTCCACACTAACACACACGGACATGTCTTACTGCTCCTACACTTACACACACAGACATGTCTTCCTGGTCCTACACTAACACACACAGACATGTCATCCTGCTCCTACACTAACACACACAGACATGTCTTGCTGCTCCTACACTAACACACACAGACATGTCTTCCTGCTCCTACACTTACACACACAACCATGTGTCCCTGTTCCACACTAACACAAACAGACATGTCTCCCTGGGTCTATACTTACACACACAGACATGTCTCCCTGGTCCGACACTTGTCCACTGATATGCCTCCATGGTCCTGTACTGACACACACAGACATGTCTCCCCTTGATCTATAATGACACACAGAGACATTTCTCTCTGGTCCTATACTGACACACATAGACAGATCTCCTGGTCTACTGACACACCGATAGGTCGCACACACACGCACACACACACACACACACACACACGCACACACACACACACACACACACACACACACACACACACACACACACACACACACACACACACACACACACACACACACACACACACACACACACACACACACACACACACACACACACACACACACACACACACACACACTGGTTGCTGGTTGAATCCTGGTAACGGTGGCAGTTTAAGAAGATTCATACAACCTTTGCTTTCGCTTGTATTTCACCTTTTGCACATCCCAAAGGCACTGTATGATATTGTGCCTGAATAATGGCTTTCAATTCATACAGTGTTCGAATAATTACATAAGTAAGCAATCTGCTCACCACACGCCTACAGGACACGAGGGGAGGCTTCCAGATGAATGACGGCCTTCTGAATAATTTTAACTCAAGAACATGCAGATGTACGCGGGGTTACTACGTGTCATTTGACCGAGACTAAACTATTTCCAACGTTTCTCTTCGATTTCAGTGCATACTATAAACATGCTCAAGTGAGGTTCCATAGCAGTCGGGGTAGGACCATTTCTGGTGTCCCCCGTTGTGATTTTGCCGGAATAATGCACAAGTGGTGTAAAACCATACTCACTCACTCATTAAATAGCAGTCAACACAGGGATGTTAGGGATCACTTGATTGTGTCATTTGGCACACAGTCAACTGTTTAATAAACTGTTAAAATAAGACACCAGTAAATCAAATTTATAGGTACCACTAACATTGTGGAATGAATTGTACAGGTGAATGGGAGCTGGCATGAGTCATTTATTAAGCTGAAGTAAAGACGTATCGGTGATACTTTCCCTTACCTCCACATGGAAAGACAGACACTACTGTACCAAGAGTGCGGAATGGTATATAAAAAACGTTGGAAATTTCAAAATTGTAAAAATTCCAAAAAAGTAAGAGATATGTCTTTCTAGTAACAGTTTCTTATTAGTAATGAACGAATTGGGAACACATTACAACCGGTAGTGAAGGAGGACAGTAGCTTTTGGGCGATGTGGGAAAGATTGGAAATTTCAAAGTTGACGGTTTTTTATCAGTAGTGCGTAATACCGCCACGAATTGTCGAACATTAATTCCACCATCACACTCAAGAATGCTTGATTCTGATTTGTTAAAAAGAGGTTTCCTTATTGCTACGGAAACCCCTTTTAAAAATATTCAGCCTTTTCACACAAAAGAACGTGTGTTTCAAGACATCGAGAGTCTACATATCGATTCATAAAAAAATGGCTGCCGATCGATCACCCACAGGAACTGTAAAAGGTTTCAATATTTCCTCTATTGCACGTTCGGTCTCAACTACAATCCAGGCCTGATGTCTGTGACGCATAGAACGGATATCATGCTGTCTATGACGAATAGAACGGGTATGATGTTGTCTATGACGTATAGAACGGGTATCATGTTGCCTATGACGTATGGAAGGGGTGTGGTGTTGTCTTTGACGTATAGAAGGGGTATGATGTTGTCTATGACGTATGGAAGGGGTATGATGTTGTCTGTGACGTATGGAAGGGGTATGATGTTGTCTTTGACATATGGAACGGGTATGATGTTGTCTATGACGTATGGAAGGGGTATGATGTTGTCTCTGACGTATGGAAGGGGTATGATGTTGTCTATGACGTATGGAAGGGGTATGATGTTGTCTGTGACATATGGAAGGGGTATGATGTTGTCTATGACGTATGGAAGGGGTATGATGTTGTCTGTGACATATGGAAGGGGTATGATGTTGTCTATGACGTATGGGAGGGGTATGATGTTGTCTATGACGAATGGAAGGGGTATGATGTTGTCTGTGACGTATGGAAGGGGTAAGATGTTGTCTGTGACGTATGGAAGGGGTATGATGTTGTCTTTGACATATGGAACGGGTATGATGTTGTATATGACGTATGGAAGGGGTATGATGTTGTCTATGACGTATAGAACGGGTATGATGTTGCCTATGATGTATGGAACGGGTATGATGTTGCCTATGACGTATGGAAAGGGTATGATGTTGTCTGTGACGTATGGAACGGGTATGATGTTGTCTATGACGTATAGAAAGGGTATGATGTTTTCTGTGACGCATGGAAGGGGTATGATGTTGCCTATGACGTATGGAAGGGGTATGATGTTGTCTGTGACGTATGGAAGGGGTATGATGTTGTCTGACGTATGGCAGGGGTATGATGTTGTCTATGACGTATAGAACGGGTATGATGTTTTCTGTGACGTATGGAAGGGGTATGATGTTGCCTATGACGTATGGAACGGGTATGATGTTGTCTGTGACGTATGGAAGGGGAATGATGTTGTCTATGACGTATGGAAGGGGAATGATGTTGTCTATGACGTATAGAACGGGTATGATGTTGCCTATGACGTATGGAAGGGGTATGATGTTGTCTGACGTATGGCAGGGGTATGATGTTGTCTATGACGTATGGAAGGGGGATGATGTTGTCTTTGACATATGGAAGGGGTGTGATGTTGTCTATGACGTATGGGAGGGGTATGATGTTGTCTATGACGTATGGAAGGGGTATGATGTTGTCTATGACGTATAGAACGGGTATGAAGTTGCCTATGACGTATGGAAGGGGTATGATGTTGTCTATGACGTATAGAACGGGTATGATGTTGCCTATGACGTATGGAAGGGGTATGATGTTGTCTATGACGTATGGAAGGGGTATGATGTTGTCTTTGTCGTATGGAAGGGGGATGATGTTGTCTATGACATATGGAACGGTTATGATGTTGTCTGTGACAAGTGTTATGTTCACGGGAGTGAAATATCAAGTGTTACGTTCACAGCAGTGAAATATCAAGTGTTATGTTCACTGCAACGGCATATCAAGTGTCATGTTCACTGCCATAAAAATATCTCAGTGCAGTATACAATAAATGAGTTCATGTGACGTTGTATAAAGGCGTTGTTTATGACGTGGCATGCCGTGTTGTGTGTAGCGTTGTTTATGATCTTGTACATGACGTTGTGTATGACGTGTGTGGCCGTGCATACCGTGTATGGCTGTGAATATAGCGTTGCGTATGACGTTGTGTATGACGTATATATGTTTATGTGACGTTGTATATGGTGTTGTTTATGACGTTGCGTATGACGTCGTTTATGACGTTGCATAACATGTTATTTCTATTGGATATGGAAAGAATGTTTGTCTCTTTATGTGTATATATGATGTTGTGTATGACGTGTTTGACCGTTCAAATGGCGTTGTGTATGCGTAATGTATGGTGTTATTCGTTCTTCTTCTAGAGTGGCTGCCGATGACAGCTGAACCATGTCAACACCGTCGCCGTCCAAGTCTACACAAGCATCGCACAAAACACGACGTCGTCACAAGTCGGGATACGTAGACGACTGGCAGTCGGGCAAAGACTTCTCGGAAACCAATCTTCACATGTTGGAGAGCGAGTCCCTCACTGACCTCAGCTTCCGGGTTGGCGAGGAACGCGAGACCGTCAAAGCACATAAATATATCTTAGTGAGTCGCAGCTGTGTATTCAACCGGATGTTGTGTGGTCCGATGCCCGAGAAGAAGGAGGTGGAGATCCCAGACATTGACCCCGCTATATTCAGGAGTCTCATCAGGTAATGCAACAGACTTATCAGGATGGAACATTGGAGCGCGTTGTCCATCTCTTGTTCAACATTCATGGCAAAATACGCATATGGTTTCCTTTAAAACATGTGTATTGAATTGCATTTGACTTGTTGAAGATGTCTTAGCAGATAGGAATAGTTACAGCTCCAGTGACTAGACAGGTAACCCACTCACTCGCCTTGTGTGTACCATTGCTACATTTTGTTCATACAGTGGTCCCCGGGCTAGCTTCACACTGGAACTGACCGAGACATGGAGCAGTTACATTTTACACTTCAATTGTATCTAGTCAAATAATGACATATAAAACGTTCTACTTGGAAGCCTTAACGATATCTTAATTTTATATTCACACAAAGTTTATTTTACATGAGTATCAATTCTTCAGACTGTATTATCTGGCTGTCGTGGTTGCTAAAAATAGTTTATTCATTCCCTAAACATGGCGTGTTCGTAGGTCATCTGGCGTGTGCTGTATTTGACTTATACTTATACACCTGTACATCATACCACAGGAAACAGTCCACTCCGTCATTCTTTATATACATATTTTTCTCCAGGTTCTTGTACACGAATGACGTCACCATCACACCAGACAACGTCATTGGTTTGTTGTACTCCTCCAAGAAGTACAATGTCAGGAGTCTGGAGCAGCGGTGCCTCCAGTTCTGCGAGATGTCTCTCACTGCTGACAACGCTTGCACAATCCTGCAGCAGGCGTGTCTGTTTGACGAGGATGGACTTCAGGAGAAGGCTATGGACGTCATCAAGCGAGAGGCAAAGCAGGTTCTCCAATCCGAGAGCTTTCTGGAACTGAGTCACGAGTGTCTGGACAGGATCCTGGCTAACGATGACCTCAAGGCGGAAGAGGACCTCATCTTCGGTGCTGCCCTCCAATGGGCGGAGGCCGAATGTAAGCGACAAGAAAGGGCAGTAACTCCCGCCGAAAAGCGATGTGTATTAGGTCAGTCATTGTATCTTGTAAGATTCCCGTTAATGAGCCAGAAACTATTTGTCGAGAAGGCTAGAGGTGCGGGAGTGTTAACAGACAGTGAAAAAGTCAAAATATTGGAACATTTTACCTTGACGGAACTCCCTGTCGAACCATTCTGCACAAAGAAAAGGAACTCATTGAAGCCTATTCGCTCTATCGAAAGATTCGGATCTCGCGGCAGGTGGACGGGAGCCAACCCAGTGACGGATGCCATCACGGTGTCATGCAGCAAAACCGTCAAGCTGCTGACATTTCTGTTGTTCGCGCCAACCAGATCCGGAAGCGGAACACTCTCCGTACTCATCTCCATAGAGGACAAGGAGCAGAAAGTGATCCTGCACCACTGCTGCGACCGCGAGATCTCCACCGGAGACGATCAGTTCAAGGTCATGCTGCCTGCGTCTATCCTCCTCCACCCTGACACCAACTACAGCGTCAGTGTCACCATCAAGGGACCCAGCAGGTACTGGGGCATCATGAACGGCTTTTCAGAGGTGCACGATGCAGACGGGGACGTGACGTGGAAGATTTCCCACAACTCGAATAGTTCCTTTTATAACAGCGTCACAGAAGGGTACATCTCTGGAATGCACTTCATAGTGGAGCCGTGACGGGGCAGCGTGGAAGTGATGCGTCAGTACTATCATTTACACATACAATGATATTACATATGTGGTCATTTGACAAACACTTCCCTTTGTAATGTAACTAAAAGTTGTCACGCCGCTTTACTCTGAGCAGTGTTGCTGATTGGTCATTCATTGAATCTGGACTACACCAGTTTATTTTGTGTCGTGTTAATATCTCGACCAGCTTTGCCTCCAATTGTGTTCAGTGTGTGGGACAATCAAGGAAACCAGGTTGATATTACAAGAGTGACTGAACTCCCTTGTGGGTGCATGGGTCGTCCCATGGCACGGCTGACTCCCTTGTGGGTGCATGGGTCGTCCCATGGCACGGTTACTCCCTTGTGGGTGCATGGGTCGTCCCATGGCACGGCTGACTCCCGTGTATACTCACATGCTATGCATGTCATGTAGGCAGGGCGGGATGCTGTGATACAGCATCGCAACGGTAAGCGTTTATGCAATCATTTAATTGTTTTATATTTTTTTCTCTTTTACGATATATTTTATGGTTTTATTTTTCCGCAGGGAATATTTTGCGGGTGATGACTGTTTTCCTGCTTATATCTGCTACAATTTGTGGTTGCGTGTCTTTGTGTGATGCTGATGTGCAGAACACGATTGCTCTATGTTGCGCTGCCTGTGAAGCCTTTACAAACGTACACAGCGCTAACGGTATATATGTTACACTTTATAGCGGTATATATGTTACACTATATATCGATATATACGTTACACTATATAACGGTATGTATGTTACACTATATAACGGTAGATATATTACACTATATGACGGTATATATGTCACAAGCAATGTCTAAAGTCAGTGAGTTTGTAAAATGAACAATTCACTCAGTCACTTTACAGATTGACTAAAATAATTCATTTTACAAATTGACTGAAACATGAGATGATAGTTTGATAGAAAGACTGGCAATTTAATAAAATGTCCTCGGTTATCAAAGATTCTGGTGAGTAGAGATAAGCATGCAGGCGCGTACAACAGATTCATTAGTATAGTAGAAGCCATTGACATAATCTACTTGGATTTCTTACTGGATTAAGTTTGTGACTCTCATTACTGATGTTTAGAGACTTTCCTTGGTGATGTTTAGAGACTTTCCTTGGTGATGTTTAGAGACTTTCCTTGGTGATGTTTAGTGACTCTCCTTAGTGGTGTTTAGAGACTTTCCTTATGTTTAGTGACTCTCCTTAGTGGTGTTTAGATACTTTCCTTATGTTTAGATACTTTCCTTATGTTTAGTGACTCTCCTTAGTGGTGTTTAGATACTTTCCTTATGTTTAGTGACTCTCCTTAGTAGAGTGTAGTGACTTTCCTTGGTGATGTTTAGTGACTCTCCTTAGTGGTGTTTAGAGACTTTCCTTATGTTTAGTGACTCTCCTTAGTGGTGTTTAGATACTTTCCTTATGTTTAGTGACTCTCCTTAGTAGAGTGTAGTAACTTTCCTTAGTGATGTTTAGTGACTCTCCTTAGTGGTGTTTAGATACTTTCCTTATGTTTAGTGACTCTCCTTAGTAGAGTGTAGTGACTTTCCTTGGTGATGTTTAGTGACTCTCCTAAGTGGTGTTTAGAGACTTTCCTTATGTTTAGTGACTCTCCTTAGTGGTGTTTAGATACTTTCCTTATGTTTAGTGACTCTCCTTAGTAGAGTGTAGTGACTTTCCTTAGTGATGTTTAGTGACTCTCCTTAGTGGTGTTTAGAGACTTTCCTTATGTTTAGTGACTTTCCTTATGTTTAGTGACTCTCCTTAGTGGTGTTTAGATACTTTCCTTATGTTTAGTGACTCTCCTTAGTAGAGTGTAGTGACTTTCCTTGGTGATGTTTAGTGACTCTCCTTAGTGGTGTTTAGAGACTTTCCTTATGTTTAGTGACTCTCCTTAGTGGTGTTTAGATACTTTCCTTATGTTTAGTGACTCTCCTTAGTAGAGTGTAGTGACTTTCCTTAGTGATGTTTAGTGACTCTCCTTAGTGGTGTTTAGAGACTTTCCTTATGTTTAGTGACTTTCCTTATGTTTAGTGACTCTCCTTAGTGGTGTTTAGATACTTTCCTTATGTTTAGTGACTCTCCTTAGTAGAGTGTAGTGACTTTCCTTGGTGATGTTTAGTGACTCTCCTTAGTGGTGTTTAGAGACTTTCCTTATGTTTAGTGACTCTCCTTAGTGGTGTTTAGATACTTTCCTTATGTTTAGTGACTCTCCTTAGTAGAGTGTAGTGACTTTCCTTAGTGATGTTTAGTGACTTTCCTGAGTGTTTCTTAGAGACTATCCTGAGTGTTGTTTAGAGTCTATCCTGGGTGATGTTTGGAGACTATTCTGGGTGATGTTTAGAGACTCTCCCGAGTGATGTTTAGACACTCACCTGAATGATGTTTAGAGACTATCCTATCCAGAGTTATATTTAGTGTCTCTCCTGAGTGATGTTTAGTGACTCTGCTTGGTAGTTACTAGTATACTTGATGACTGGGAGTTATAGCACGTCAGCATCTCCACCGATCATCCTCATGTTTCAGTCATTTCACAGATTGACTGTAACAATAATGCATGTGAACACATCTTCCCAGTGTAATATCCACTTGAATTCGAGAGCCAGTTTATGTTATACAGGTCTTTGACCTTCTCATGACTGAAGTGCGATTATTTAGTTCCTGTTTCAAAGATAATTATTTTTCTCTCATGGTGTCCTTCCTTGGAAGCAGCATTATTTTATCAAAGGTGAGATATATGTTTCTTATGACTGTATATACTCATTACAAAGCCAAAACATGAATTCAGTTAGGACCTATTCCATGATATTTTTATGATTCATGTACCATTATTTAGTCCTATTGTTGGTTTATTTGAAAGGATACGTAGCCACGTGAAGCAGCAGTTAGACTCACATGTCCGGCGTATAACCCACTTGGGCTACGTCTGCCTTAGCGTTAGATTTTTATATTTAGTTCCGACATTGTAACTGTTGTCCTCGAAAAGCCATTGCTTCGCCATAACATACCCGCCTCATGACGCTGTTCGTGAAAACATCGACATTAGAACGCATGTACATGACGCTGCCAAAAACCTTTGCTTGAAGATATTGAATGTCGTGTGGATGTCTGTAGCTGGGCGGAGGTCGTTATCAGTGCGTCCATCCCGTGCCGTGTGTTACACGCAAGCACACTCATACATTCTGTTCACTCACAACACATTACATACACACCAACATATAGAGAGACACCATCAAGCATCAACATATAGAGAGACACAATCAAGCACCTACATATAGCGTGACACCATCAAGCACCAACATATAGAGAGACACCATCAAGCACCAACATATAGAGAGACACCATCAAGCACCAACATATAGAGAGACACCATCAAGCACCTACATATAGCGTGACACCATCAAGCACCAACATATAGAGAGACACCATCAAGCATCAACATATAGAGAGACACAATCAAGCACCTACATATAGCGTGACACCATCAAGCAGCAAGATGTACAGAGACAACATCAAGCACCAACATATAGCGTGACACCATCAAGCACCAACATATAGAGAGACACCATCAAGCACCAACATATAGAGAGACACCATCAAGCAGCAAGATGTACAGAGACACCATCAGGCACCAACATATAGCGCGACACCATCAAGCACCAACATATAGCGTGACACCGTCAAGCACCAACATATAGAGAGACACCATCAGGCACCAACATATGGAGACACCATCAAGCACCTACATATAGATAGACACCATCAATCACCAACATATAGCGTGACACCATCAAGCACCAACATATAGAGAGACACAATCAAGCACTAACATATAGCGGAACACCATCAAGCACCAACATATAGAGAGACACCATCAAGCACCAACATATAGCGTGACACCATCAAGCACCAACATATAGAAAGACACCATCAAGCACCAACATATAGAGAGACACAATCAAGCACCTACATATAGCGTGACACCATCAAGCACCAACATATAGAGAGACACCATCAAGCACAAACATATAGAGAAACACCATCACGCACCAACATATAGAGAGACACCATCACGCACCAACATATAGCGTGACACCATCAAGCACCAACATATAGAGAGACACCATCAAGCACCAACATATAGAGAGACACAATCAAGCACCAACATATAGCGTGACACCATCAAGCACCAACATATAGAGAGACACCATCAAGCACCAACATATAGAGAGACACCATCAATCACCAACATATAGCGTGACAACATCAAGCACCAACACATAGCGTGACACCGTCAAGCACCAACATATATCGTGACACCATCAAGCCTCAACCTATAGCGCAACACCATCAAGCACCAACATATAGAGAGACACCATCAAGCACCAACATATAGAGAGACACCATCAAGCACAGACATACAAGAGAGACACCATCAAGCACCAACATATAGAGAGACACCATCAAGCACCAACATATAGCGTGACACCATCATGCACCAACATAAAGAGAGACACCATCAAGCACCAACATATAGAGAGACACCAGCAATCACCAACATATAGCGTGACACCATCAAGCACCAACATATAGAGAGACACCATCAAGCACCAACATATAGCGTGACACCATCAAGCACCAACATATAGCGTGACGCCATCAAGCACCAACATATAGAGAGACACCATCAAGCACCAACATTTAGCGTGACACCATCAAGCACCAACCTATAGTGTGACACCATCAAGCACCAACATATAGCGTGACACCATCAAGTACCAACATATAGAGAGACACCATCAAGCACCAACATATAGAGAGACACCAGCAATCACAAACATATAGAGAGACACCATCAAGCACCGACATACAAGAGAGACACCATCAAGCACCAACATATAGAGAGACACCAGCAAACACTAACATATAGCGTGACACCATCAAGCACCTACATATAGCATGACACCATCAAGCACCAACATATAGAGAGACACCATCAAGCACCAACATATAGCGTGACACCATCAAGCACCTACACATAGTGTGACATCGTCAAGCACCAACATATAGCGTGACATCATCAAGCCTCAACCTATAGCGCAACACCATCAAGCACCAACATATAGAGAGACACCATCAAGCACCAACATATAGCGTGACACCATCAAGCCTCAACCTATAGCGCAACACCATCAAGCACCAACATATAGAGAGACACCATCAAGCACCGACATACAAGAGAGACACCATCAAGCACCAACATATAGAATGACACCATCAAGTACCAACATATATAGAGAGACACCATCAAGCACCAACATATAACGTGACACCATCAAGCACCAACATATAGCGTGACACCATCAAGCCTCAACATATAGCGCAACACCATGAAGCACCAACATATAGAGAGACACCATCAAGCACCAACATATAGCGTGACACCATCAAGCACCAACATATAGCGTGACACTATCAAGCACCAACATATAGAGAGACACCATCAAGCACCAACATATAGAGAGACACCATCAAGCACCAACATATAGAATGACACCATCAAGCACCAACATATAGAGTGACACAATCAAGCACCAACATATAGAGAGACCCCATCAAGCACCAACATATAGAGAGACACCAATCAAGCACCAACATGTAGAGAGACACCATCAAGCACCAACATATAGCATGACACCATCAAGCACCAACATATAGAACGACACCATCACGCTCCAACATATAGAGAAACACCATAAAGCACCAACATAAAGAGAGACACCATCAAGCACCAACATATAGAGAGACACCATCAAGCACAACATATAGAATGACACCATCACGCTCCAACATATAGAGAGACCCCATCAAGCACCAACATATAGAGAGACACCAATCATGCACCGACATATAGCGTGACACCATCACGCACCGACATATAGAATGACACCATCAAGCACCAACATATAGAATGACACCATCACGCACCGACATATAGAATGACACCATCACGCACCGACATATAGAATGACACCATCACGCACCGACATATAGAATGACACCATCACGCACCGACATATAGAATGACACCATCACGCACCGACATATAGAATGACACCATCAAGCACCGACATATAGAATGACACCATCACGCACCGACATATAGAATGACACCATCACGCACCGACATATAGAATGACACCATCACGCACCGACATATAGAATGACACCATCACGCACCGACATATAGAATGACACCATCACGCACCGACATATAGAGAGACACCATCACGCACCCACATATAGAATGACACCATCACGCACCGACATATAGCCGCACCGCCTGGTACTTCACCGACATATAGAATGACACCATCACGCACCGACATATAGCCGCACCGCCTGGTACTTCACCGACATATAGAATGACACCATCACGCACCGACATATAGCCGCACCGCCTGGTACTTCACCGACATATAGAATGACACCATCACGCACTGACATATAGCCGCACCGCCTGGTACTTCACCGACATATAGAATGACACCATCACGCACCGACATATAGCCGCACCGCCTGGTACTTCACCGACATATAGAATGACACCATCACGCACTGACATATAGCCGCACCGCCTGGTACTTCACCCACAAGAGTAACACAATCAAGTGAAGCAGTTTCCTATGCAAGACTGAAAGCCATCAATTATTCATCTGTGGTTTGCTAGACTTCAGCGTGGTGGTTTAGATAATGCGTATATTTATAATGATAATGTTTCCTGATGTTTCCTGACAATGCCAAGGCACTGCCCCGACACTGTGTACTGTTATACAGTACGCACACTACCAGGAAACATGTTGCCAGTGTGTACTGTCATGAGGTTGTCACACTTCCAGCCACCCAGCTCAGATCCTGTGCACTGTTACCCTGTGGAGTGTTGGTGCTTTGTTGTTGTGTGTGGTAAGCTTTTACTATTAAATGACATAACGTATTTGCTGCTGAATGATGCAAATATTTACACTCACTCCTCTAAGTCAAAAGACTACCCACAGCAAATAAGCGTAGGTTTCCGTTTTCCGCGAACCTTCCGGATATCTTCCGGAAACAAAATGCACCCCAAATTCTTCACATTTTTAAAGGTTTCCGGAAGGTATCCGGACCGGATTCTAAGTGGGAAGTTATGAAAACAGAAACCTACACTTTTTTTGTTGTGACCATAACTCGAGCTGTATGATATCAACCGTTAACAGACAGTTTACCAAAGGAGGGGGTGGGATCAGGGTCCTTTTTGACTCACTGGGAATTTAATATAAATTTTGCGGAAAACTTTGTAATAATGGTGTGAAAGTCATGTTCAAATGGTTGACTGGCCTTTGTTTTTTCTAACAATTCCAAGTGTTTACTTTGGCATTTTTAAAAACACCAGAATAGTTACAAGGAACCTCCAAGGATGAACTTTGCCCTGCCACGGGAGATCTGACCATGAACAAGTCCATGACCCTTCACCAATGACTCTACTGTTAACGTTGTTATCTACTTCTCTTGAAACAATCAGCTCGGGTCACCTTCTTGCTCATGTTCAAGTATTTCAAAAATGCTTACTGACAACTTCTAAATGCAGCTTAGTCGTGTGTATACATTTAGTTCCAAGACATGCGTAAGTTAAAATGAGCAAAGTCTATCTCATTCATACACATCTGATAGCCAGGAAAAACGTACAACTTTGTGAATAACTACTTCTGGTTTATTGCGACGTTTCGATGTAGATTCTTACGCCGTTATGCAGCTATATGCAATAAACCAGTCGTTGTGTTCCACGTTGCACGTTTTTCATACCTATTTTGCCAACTTTTGAAGATGTGCCCTCATGTTGTCATGTCCTCACAATATCGTGATATGAAATTGTAATTAATAGAATTTGTTTACATATTCGATATCTTAAGGTACAGTTAAAGGAATTTACGACATAAGCTGCTGATCACAGCTAGACTTGTGGTATACATGCATATGCCGGTGAAGGGTATTGCGTGATGAAAGGGCGCATGAGTCACAATTGAGACCAAGTTTCCATAGAATGGCAATTTTTGTGTACTAAGATATATGTGTCTTTTTACGATGAAAATTTATATTTATCCTGACATCGTTACATCCTCGATTACCAAGGGTATTATATCACCATTCTATTATTATTATTATTATTATTAACCTGTTTTGAGGCCGATTCAATGAACTTAACGCTAGGAATAGCCGTTCAGTCAAGTGACACACGTGAGCGAGAGTAATTCTCTGGGAGGCTACACTGTTCGGACTAATTTCAATGGGAGGCTAAACTGGTGAGCGTAATGAAGAGGCTGACATCAACTGGTATGACGCGAGGCTAGGGGAGGGGACAGAGTATTTAACATGATAATGCTCTGGGCAATCGAGGATGGCATCATTACGATAGAAGTTGCACTGTTATTTGCCTAGATATATATAATGTTGTACCCACATGTAGACTACTCTGTGTTACGATATTATACAGATTTATTTTACATATCACTATGAGCACCTATTTCCATATCAGATGCCATGTTACAAGCAGGAGGTATGTAATATCAAACATCCCGCCTGGAAGAGTATCTGTGTTGGCTGTAGAGAAATATATATTTTCTTCAACACTCTAATTACCCTATAATTAATAATTAGAATGAGCAAATTAACCCTTTATATAACAGGTGCAGAATGTTTAATAAGCAGAAGTGTTAATGATGAATGTGTAACTCAATACTTGCTGATTTCTGGAATGTATTTAAGCTTCTAGTGACAAGATGAGGCCAAAACACAATTAGGTTCTACCTCATACTGTGAATATTCTGACTTCGGAGCATCCTTAAACTTGGGGATGCATCAGCATCAGTGTAGCTCATTTTTGTATCGTCAGATGTGGCTCACGTGACCGTCACGTGACCGACTACTGTGACTAACCGCACTTTTATCTTATGCGGGGAAATAAAGGCTTTTAATGTCTCATGTGTGTGGCTTCTCGGTCATCCCAGAGTGCATACATTCTGGTGCAGGCTTGCCCCCAACAAGGACAACACCCAAATACAACGAGAGTGGACATCTTCCTAAGGACAGGACTCTGACAGCGAGTGAGTGAATGTTGTTTAACGCCGCCGGTTGTAATGTGCCAACTGTGTCACAACCGAGTTTTATCAGGTACAGACAACCATCGATAGCATCAACACATACAGCATCAACACATACAGCATCAACACATACAGCATCAACACATACAGCATCAACACATACAGCATCAACACATACAGCATCAACACATACAGCATCAACACATACAGCGTCAACACATACAGCGTCAACACATACAGCATCAACACATACAGCATCAACACATACAGCGTCAACAACATACAGCATCAACACATACAGCATCAACACATACAGCATCAACAACATACAGCATCCACACATACAGCGTCAACACATACAGCGTCAACACATACAGCATCAACACATACAGCGTCAACACATACAGCATCAACACATACAGCGTCAACACATACAGCATCAACAAATACAGCATCAACACATACAGCATCAACACATACAGCATCAACACGTACAGCATCGCATCAACACATACAGCATCAACACATACAGCATCAACACATACAGCATCGACACATACAGCGTCAACACATACAGCATCAACACATACAGCGTCAACACATACAGCATCAACACATACAGCGTCAACACATACAGCATCAACACATACAGCATCAACACATACAGCATCAACACATACAGCGTCAACACATACAGCATCAACACATACAGCGTCAACACATACAGCGTCAACACATACAGCATCAACACATACAGCATCAACACATACAGCGTCAACACATACAGCATCAACACATACAGCATCAACACATACAGCATCAACACATACAGCATCAACACATACAGCATCAACACATACAGCATCAACACATACAGCGTCAACACATACAGCGTCAACACATACAGCATCAACACATACAGCATCAACACATACAGCGTCAACAACATACAGCATCAACACATACAGCATCAACACATACAGCATCAACAACATACAGCATCCACACATACAGCGTCAACACATACAGCGTCAACACATACAGCATCAACACATACAGCGTCAACACATACAGCATCAACACATACAGCGTCAACACATACAGCATCAACAAATACAGCATCAACACATACAGCATCAACACATACAGCATCAACACGTACAGCATCGCATCAACACATACAGCATCAACACATACAGCATCAACACATACAGCATCGACACATACAGCGTCAACACATACAGCATCAACACATACAGCGTCAACACATACAGCATCAACACATACAGCGTCAACACATACAGCATCAACACATACAGCATCAACACATACAGCATCAACACATACAGCGTCAACACATACAGCATCAACACATACAGCGTCAACACATACAGCGTCAACACATACAGCATCAACACATACAGCATCAACACATACAGCGTCAACACATACAGCATCAACACATACAGCATCAACACATACAGCATCAACACATACAGCATCAACACATACAGCATCAACACATACAGCATCAACACATACAGCATCAACACATACAGCGTCAACACATACAGCGTCAACACATACAGCATCAACACATACAGCATCAACACATACAGCGTCAACAACATACAGCATCAACACATACAGCATCAACACATACAGCATCAACAACATACAGCATCCACACATACAGCGTCAACACATACAGCGTCAACACATACAGCATCAACACATACAGCGTCAACACATACAGCATCAACACATACAGCGTCAACACATACAGCATCAACAAATACAGCATCAACACATACAGCATCAACACATACAGCATCAACACGTACAGCATCGCATCAACACATACAGCATCAACACATACAGCATCAACACATACAGCATCGACACATACAGCGTCAACACATACAGCATCAACACATACAGCGTCAACACATACAGCATCAACACATACAGCGTCAACACATACAGCATCAACACATACAGCATCAACACATACAGCATCAACACATACAGCGTCAACACATACAGCATCAACACATACAGCGTCAACACATACAGCGTCAACACATACAGCATCAACACATACAGCATCAACACATACAGCGTCAACACATACAGCATCAACACATACAGCATCAACACATACAGCATCAACACATACAGCATCAACACATACAGCATCAACACATACATCGTCAACACATACAGCATCAACACATACAGCATCAACACATACAGCGTCAACACATACAGCGTCAACACATACAGCATCAACACATACAGTGTCAACACATACAGCGTCAACACATACAGCATCAACACATACAGCATCAACACATACAGCGTCAACACATACAGCATCAACACATACAGCATCAACACATACAGCGTCAACACATACAGCGTCAACACATACAGCGTCAACACATACAGCATCAACACATACAGCGTCAACACATACAGCATCAACACATACAGCGTCAACACATACAGCATCAACACATACAGCATCAACACATACAGCGTCAACACATACAGCATCAACACATACAGCATCAACACATACAGCATCAACACATACAGCATCAACACATACAGCATCAACACATACAGCATCAACACATACAGCATCAACACATACAGCGTCAACACATACAGCGTCAACACATACTGGGTACTGGGGACGCATTAGGCGCAGCACGGGGTGTTGGAGATCCATTCCGCACGGGGCCCGGGAATGCAACAAATAGTTTTTGTCGTCCCCATGGTAAAATTAGTAAAACAAATAAGATTTGAGCTTCTATCCTTTACTGAGGTAAATAGTGGCCTTCTCCATAGTAGCAGATCATCTCACCAACGTCTGGTTTAGAGGCATGTTGAACTGACCAAACGTCAGGCGCTAGACCGAACAGGGTTGTCTCCCTTACTCCTTCCACAATAACATTACCCAGCGATACAGCCACATCTAACCATGTTGTTACGTGTCGATACCCAAATTGAAACAATATGTTAACCCATAAATATGTAAGTAAAAGAACTTAGTGTAAACCAACAAACAACCAACAAATGGTATATATTAACAAATAAATTACAAAATTCACTAAATTTTCAACCAATACAAAATACTGCACAGCAATTACAATGGCACTACACAATGGAGTGGTAGTACAATATTCGTTTGCTTGTTGTTTAACGCCGCACTCAGCAATATTCCAGCTATATGACGGCGGTCTGTAAATAAACGAGTCTGAACCAGACAATCCAGTGATAGACACCACGAGCATCGGTTCACGCAATTGGGATACGATGACATGCATCAACCAAGTCAGCGAGCCTGACCACCCGATCCCGTTAATCGCCTCTTACGACAAGCATAGTCGTCTTTTACGGCAAGCATCGGTTGCTGAAGACCTATTCTACTCCGGATCTTCACGGGTCGAACAATATTCAATGGAATATATAATATTATGGCAGTGACCAGTATCAAATACAAAAATACAGTGGTCATAGCAAAAGACAGTGATAATAATATATATTCACCCAGCGGCGACAGTGTTCAAGCTTCCGAGATGGTCAAGGCAGGGAATCAGGGATGATGAGCGAGTTATGTAAACACGCTCTTGTCCTACTATATATACAATCTAACACGCTACTGGAAATTTCTATAAAGTACTCTCACAAGTCTAACGGTACTACAACATTAAAGACGTTCCCATAACATGCAATCACCTTCCGCGGTATACCGGACCTGAAGTGTACACACCACACTAGCATCTAAGCATAGGAACTTCCTGACGACTGATCACTGCCCAAACACAATGCAATGAGCGTCTACCGATTCCCAACAGAAACAATCAAAGACAGCTACAATCACTGTTAAATAATAAAATGCACTGCCATATAAGACAACCAAGGGGTTCCCCGACCTCGTCCCCCATGCCTTCTCCGTGGCCTAGTGGAAACAGCGTCTATCCGGAGATCGGAAGCTACGCGGTTCGATACCCGAATATCAAAATGCGATAAAACGTGGTACCTGTTGTTACCCTGTCTGGCGCTGGGAAATTTAGGGACTGGTCGGTTTGGAGTATGCTGTGCCTGAGTTAAACTTCTACATAGTGTCTCATTGAGCTAGCATAAAAAAACAGCCAAATCTGGATGGGCACAATCAGACACACACGACAACTATTATTCCATATTACCTACACACTCGGATACATTATGTAGCAATAGGTAGAATATCAGTACCTACATATTCGGATACACATGTAGCTATGTATGGTATATTATTATCTGCATACTCGGATACACATGTAGCTATGTATAGTATATCATTATCTGCATACTCGGATACACATGTAGCTATATGTAGAATATCATTATCTGCATACTCGGGTACACATGTTGCTATATGTAGAATATCATTATCTGCGTAGATGGATACACATGTAGCTATATGTAGAATATCATTGTCTGCATACTCGGATACACATGTAGCTATATGTAGAATAACATTATCTGCATACTCGGATACACATGTAGCTATATTTAGAATATCATTATCTGCGTAGATGGATACACATGTAGCTATGTATAGAATATCATTATCTGCATACTCGGATACACATGTAGCTATATGTAGAATATCATTATCTGCATACTCGGGTACACATGTTGCTATATGTAGAATATCATTATCTACATACTCGGATACACATGTAGCTATATGTAGAATATCATTATCTGCATACTCGGATACACATGTTGCTATATGTAGAATATCATTATCTGCATACTCGGGTACACATGTAGCTATATGTAGAATATCATTATCTGCATACTCGGGTACACATGTTGCTATATG